CATCTACCGTTGGCATGGTGAGGATCATTGGCGTGATAGAACCTGGGATGCAGACCTAGAGTTCGTCGACTGAACTGGCTGTGTGTTTCACGGAATGCTTCTTTCATAAGAAGGTATCCACTTTGAGCATTCGCCATTTCATAGGGAGATGCTTTTCTCAGGAAAAGGTACTTCCTAAAGAACTCTTTCTCAAAGGAAGATACTTATCTCAGGATAAGATACTTCTAATGCCCTTATATATTTGCCTTGCCGCAAGATGTCATGCTGGCATCAAGTAAAGCTAAGCTTTACACCTTTATGTTACAGTATGCTTTCCGCCTGGAGAGGGAACTGAAACACAAGTGGGCAACTTTCAAGCAAAAGTTTTCAGTTGAAGATCCGTTTGCGTTTCGTGCGTGTTCTGCTCTTTTCATTGAAGCTGTCTTCAGGCTAGAGATGTATAGATTCTCTTCAAGTCGCAGATGTAGCTCAATACTCCGCTAATTCGACCAAGAGCAATAACAGGCTTGTAGATTGCCGACTCCACGGCCATGCAGCTCTACGTGTTTTAAATTTGTGCCTGGTTGAAACACTGAATGTTACACATCCAGGTGCCTGTCTGTTTCACGTATCACTTGCATGTATCCATGCCTGTTGCTCAAGGTTCTAGTGCAGTGGACTACAGCTGTGCGCCTGTAGCAAAAGAGACACCTGAGTGCCTGTGTTCCTGTACGCCTAGCGAGGGGATACACGTCCAGGTTACATCTCAGGGGGGGGGGGGGGCGGGAGCGCGTGACCATATATTGGCTAGGCGGAGCTATCTTCGAACCTTCAAGGGCCGCTTACTTGTAGCAAGAGACATCGAACACCAGCCTAGAGGGAGCTTCAGCAACATGTTCAGAAAATTAGACGGAGAGGATAACACCAAGTCATCTAGCCGCTCAACCGCACCAGCAAGGCAAAAACCCACGACTCCAAGATAAGCAAAGCCGAGGTCCCAAAGCCCAAGTCCAAACCCCCCAGAGGATGAAAGCAAACAAACTCCGTCTTTCCCGACTGATTTTCTGAACTCGAAGCGGAAACCCCGTGTACCTCATTAGACTCAGAAACCCAGAACCCTAAAACGCCAAAACCGAGCGGCCAATGTCCGCCCACCTGGACCCGTCGTGGTAAAGGCCCTTTGGTAGCGGCCCCAAATCCTGGACGTTTGGGCTTAGAAGGGATCAGAGAGCAGAATGGCCTGGGATGCAAATTAAAGGTTTCGCGTAGACGAAGTACTCAAATATACTAAAATGTACGATAATATCCTTGTAATGGTTTCGGGACTGACTCAAGCGTTTAGGCCTGGGGGTAACGGAGTAGTCTGCAGGTCTTGGTGGAGGGTGGAGGGTTGGGTCTACCGGTCCATTCCCTCAACCGCCCGGAGGGAACCCTAAGCCCGGCATAGCTCGAGATGCTGCCGAAGCCCACAAACCTAGCAAAGGTTTAGGGTTTATAGGGTTTTAGGTTTAGGGTTTAGGGTTAGGCCCGACACCCGAAACCGCTGGTGGTATCCTCAAGCGATTTCTAAGCCCTGAGACAATCCGAAGTCGCCCCCCGCCGAAACCCTTGCGAACAAAACCCATTAAACCCCAAACCCATTAAACCCAAAACCCTGAACGCTCAACCCTAAACCCATCAAAACACACAACCCTCCCTCCCCCAAAAAAGCAATGAAAGCTGCCCCCCTCAAAAGCAGGCCTCCGCTCGCTGCTCGGCCTCCATCGCGGGGGCAGGATCCGAGGGCGGCACATAGCGGTCGTCGAAGTTGGGGTCGACGTGCCTAGAGCTTCGGGCTTGAGAGCTTGGCTTAGGGTTTAGGGTTCAGGATTTCTGGGTTTCGGGCTTGAAAGTTCGCATGTAGGTCCAGGGTAGGTTATTCAGGACTCAAGACGTTGGGGGTCAGGCTACGCTTACGAAGGTTGTAGTGTTCGAGGTTCACAGCTTACAGTAGGGTCTACATATAACCCTGCGCTCTTCGGCTGCCAACATCGAAATCCATCGCCTCCGAACAAGCAAGAGTAAGCCAAGCCCAGCACATCTGAGAAACGGGCCATTGCAAGATGCCAAAATTGCAAGAACGGTCGGTTCTCCAACTGTACAGCTGGTTGCAACTCCCTAGCCACCCGTTCAAGTTTAGAGGCGACGACCCTGACAATGCTGAGTTAAGGCATTGGAGGCATGTTCGGAGCTTTGAGGCTTTTGGGGTTGAGAGCCTTCCGTTTGCAGTTCGGCCATCTGCATGCCATACTGTCCGTGTCGTCCACCGCCACACCCTAAACCCTAAACCAGAAACCGTGAACTCTCATTTCTTGGAAAATGCAGGTCTCGGTGCGGCCTCGAATGTTTCCCTGGCCCTAGCGTCGAGGGAATGTTCAGGGTTTAGAGTTTAAAGTTTAGGGCTTAAGCTTTAAAGTCAAGATGTAAAATTCAGGTTTGAGGAGTTCGGGCTTGTCTCAAGGCTCTTGTGCGGCTTCCCATTCGGAGCTGGGGAAAGGTACTGCCGTCCAGCTGCTTCTTGTACCACTTCTTCTTGTATTTCACGATTTGCTCCTGAACTCCGACGGGCTTAGGGTATAGGGTTGATGGCTGCGGCTAAACCCTAAATCTTGCACAGGACAAGTCAGGGGTGCAGGGTTGCGGCTCTTCCCAGAGCTTGCCGACCCCCTATTGCTACAAAGCAGGTGGTACCGAAGCTAGTGCCATCATGCCTAAAGTCCACTACCCTGAACCCAAGACCCCTTTTGCATCCAGGCCTCTGCCCTGAAGCCCTGAACCCCTACACCCTAAACTCCTAAACCCTAAACTCTAAACGCCCAAACCCTAGAGGGTTCATGGCTCAATCTAGCGAGGCAGAAGGTCGCAAAACCACAATTAGTTTTCTTGTTTCTTTAAACTCTGTTGTAAAGGGCAGTATGTTACGGTATGTTATATGACCGTACATTTTAATATATATTATAGCGTGTTCTAAGTATGGTATATTCAAGACTAGACCCAGCCGTAGCCGTGGCTTGGGATGGTAGTGGGGGAAAGCACGAAAACCTGGCCTGTGTAGGTGGCGGGTGCAGGCCATTCCTGACTACTTCATTCCACACTGGCTTCTGGGTTCACGGGTTGAGGCGATTTAGGGGCTAGGGTTGTGGGCTGAGGGTCGCAAGTTTCAAGCTCAGCAATGGAATGAGTCAGGATGAAAAGTCTTCAGGCGGGGCCCTGCAGCTACAGCAGTGATCCAACCAGCAGGTTGCAGACTGGAGGGCGTGGAACCGCATTCAATGACCTGATGCAAGCAAAGTTCAAGTAGGCTCGCCAGCGCTCATCAGCCCAATCGAAGGACACGAAACGCTCGTAGTCGTCAGCCATGGCTGTATATGTATGCGGTACCGATTTTGCGACAGATTCCCTGTGGCTTCTAGAAGGGAGTGCCCTGCTCACGAGGACATTTCTTGCACGAGTTACGGCTTAAGATGCAGCTGGCATTTGCCGCAAGTTCCGTGTCGAGCAAGAGGCCTGGATGCATGGCGGAGGCTTTCAATCGGAGACCACACCACGGCACAGCGCAAGCACATGTCCCATGCCACCTCGCTCCCCTCATCCGGCCCAGTGCCAACCCCAAATGCTCCAAAATCCGAAATCGACCCTTCCATCGACGTCCGCACCACTTACACCCTGGGATCGGCCCTTCAGGACATGCGCTTGTCTCGGCCAGTAATTGCATGCGGTTCGGGCTGGCAGGAGCAGGGTCCTTCGAGCTTCCTGCACATAAGGGCTAGTCTAAGTCACACACGTCTGCAGTGCTCAACATGTCAGCCGACTGAGCCGACTGACAATTGCAGACCAATGGGAAAATCACCTGTGAGCTCGAACTTCCGGCTGCGATTATGCCCTCCGGAAAGTGAGCCTAGCTAATAACGAGGAACCACAGAGTCAGAGCTGCAGCCACAGCCATGCCCTGGGCATTCGAAGCCGTAACCAAGCCGTGGGTCGTTGTGGCTGGAAGGACCGTGAAGTTCACGACCATGTTCGTGCCCGCCGACTGCGTGGCACAAACGCCCGTCTCGAACATGGGCTTCCAATGACACATGGCGTCAGCATCGCAGGCGGAGGCATTCTCCACGTAGAGGCTGCAATTTGAGATGAAGGCGAGCGACTCCATGTACTCCGTTTCACCGTACATGGTGGTCGAACAATTTCTTTCATCCACAGGCATCGGAGCCCAGAGGGTAGTCCAAGGCCTCCAGCCATAGCGTGTCTTGTCCCTTGGCACACCCGTGATGTTCATGCCCATGGCAATCTTCCAAGCCACGAAGTCGTCCGCTGTGGGCCCGAAGACCAAGTCGCAAGTCTCGACAGTCCTGTTGCCGGCGGCAGTCATCCAGGCAGCACAGAAGCTCGTTACGTCGGAAGTTTTAAAGAGCACCTCGTTCAGGTCATGGTGGTAGTTCAGCGAGATGCCAAAGAGCTCCTCCGACTGATCCAACGCCGCTTTGCAGTCAGGCCGGTTGGTGCAATAGGGCGAAGTGGCCAGGACATACGGCATCACTGGCTCGCCCATGCTCATGAGCACACTCACCGGCGCATTGATGTGGTGCAGGTTGGATGCCAAGGCGAACCATGGTGTCGTCACCTTGTCTGCCACCTCGCACATGTGCATGAGTGAGCCTTGGTCAGCTTTCTCGATGGTCAGTGTCACATCGCCGCCTGGCGCCTCGATGGTCTGGGTGGACATCGTCACTGGGTAGTGCGTCAGCATGAGAACCTTCTTGAACGGGTGGTTGGTCGACATGCTGCTCAGCATGCGGTCGTTCTCTCCATCGACGCTGAGAACACCCAGCGTAACCATGTCACCCGCCAGACTTTCGAAAACGTTCTGCCTCGAGCCGTGGCGAATGTACGCCCCAATTTCGTAGCTGCTGTTTAGCAAGGTGTTGGCGAAGTTGCGGATCAACTCAGTGTCGGAGCTGCAGGTCATGGCCGAGCCGTTGCTAGCTGCCCATGCTGCTGCAACGGATGCTGTTGGAGCCCTCCATGGCAGCTGCGGTGATAGCGGAGTAGGCGGTGTCGAAGGCCATCTCCTCGATCAAGTTGGCATTGCCTTCTGCAGTGAACGTGTCGAACAGGAACTTCGTCCACGGGTGCTGCAGGTTGTAGATGGCATTGCCGTTGATGTGGTTCAGCAAATAGGATGGCATCATGTGTGAGAACATGAGCCAGTTGGCTCCATAGTAGGGGCTGCCACGGATGGCCATGTTCATGGCAGACATCTCTGCAGCCTCTTCCACAAACTTGTCCAGCCAGTTTGCCATCACAGGAACAGCATCCATCTCCATCCAGAAGAAGCTGTCGTACTCACCGGCAAAGGCACCAGTGAACATGGCCTCCACAACATGCTTAAAGACCATGTTGGGGCCTGAGACCCAGTGCCTATTCGTGGCATACCCCTGGTCATCGTACTGGTCTTCCTCTGGGGTAAGCTTGGCGGAGAAATTCTTGATGCCTCCGAAGCAACCGGTCCAGTGCTCATTCCGTGCAAAGCCTGACTCATAGGACTGGACTGCGGCCGTGGCCGTGGCGTCCGTGGCGAGGTCCTTGCTGTAAACCAAGATCAGGTCTACATTGCTGCTCTGGCCAGGGTTTGCGCATGGCATGGTCGACTCCCACTCCGTGTAGGACTGCGTCAGATACGCGACCTGAACTCGCCACATCCAGAAGAGCCTACGCTTACAACGCTAGTGCCTACAATCCTGCGACCTCAAGGACTCAAAAGCCATGACCACTTCTCCGCTCACTTCAAATTTGAGCGTGAACAATAAAAACAAAACCAAAAACCGAAACATGCCAATTCCAAAACCGAGGCCTAGCTGAAGCATGCTGAAGGCACGGTCCCAAAACATGCCCCAACGCAATCACGAGAAAAGCTGCCTCCTCACTGGTCGCGAAGACACGTACGATGGCCATCTTCCCAGCTGCCGCAAAGGGCATGAAGCTCAGAGCGCCAACGGTGAAGAAGAACATCCTGCCGTTCATCGGGAAATGCAAACTCAAGCCTGACGCGACCCAGAGAGATCCTGGACCAAACGTCTTGAGCCAGATGGCTCAATCGCAATCGTCAAGTTCCCAATCCAGCACTGAATTTCGCTTCCACACAGACAACACCTTCCGATGTGATAACCACCTCGACGGAAATTTAACGCATCGGCGGACATATGCATCTTATGAAGTATTTGCTCCTCCATGTTTTTTCATGACAACATTCCCTGGCCCAACCGACGTCATCATGTCGGCTCCCACATGGAAGTGTACCAACCGCAGTTCCTCGTCGAAACACGGGCAAGCATTGGATCTTCAAGATCTTACCAAACAGCCCGTAAAGAGTTGCAGAGATTCGATGCGCTGATTCGAACTAACATTTACTAGCAGAGCTGCGACAAGCAAAGCTTCCTGCACACACACACACACACACACACATGGCTCAAGTGAGTTCCCCACTCATCTGGCTACATATTGCTCATCGACACTGTTAGCAAATTTAGCAACGCTGGAAAGAAAAGCTTCTTGAAGCCAGCTGTGTGCTTTGCTTGGAAGATCAAAGTTCGGCAGTGTCGATACACGACTTGAGGATGAGTCAAATGTCTGAGAGATGCAGTATGGGAACTTTACACACAATCTGCGGACGAACTTACTTTGAGCCCAATTCATGTAAAGCTGTATTGGGTTACTTGGAACGACCCGACCAGGAAAAAATGTTCTTCTATTCGCGGCAGGGCAGATTCATGCTAAGTGCATACTTTGGGCTGCTTCGCGGTTCGAAACGGTTGGACGAGGAAAAAGGTTCTCCAGGTGCTATTTCAGCGGTAGCAGAAACACAGAAATAGAATTTTTTGAATTCTCGTTTACTGCGCAGGTTGCATGTATGGCGTGGTGGATGAATGCAGCGCACATGGATGCAGTGCGAGCGAGGCATTGCTCGTAGGATGCTGCTGGCAGAGCGATGCATTGCAGATTGCATTTACCCCGAATGAAACAAATTAGCTTGCGCATGCGGTCCCATGATCCGCAGTGTTCGTCTCGAGCCGAATATGCAATGCTTTCCATTCGAAGAACCCTCTAAAAAACACTGCTGCTCACAAGACAAAACAGCGAGAGCCCAAATGGACCTGTTCACCCACCTTTCAATCCCACTTACGCAAAAAAACGTTTCGCTCGTTCGATACCACGAAGAATCTGTTTCTAAGCTCCAAAGTTGTAACGAATGAACACACCGCCCGTTCAGAAGTTCTACAACAAGTTGCTACACCGCACGACAGAAGCTTATCCATGCTTTCTCGGCGCATCTCTTCTGCATTGCTACGGAGCCGCCCTGATGTCCACATGGAAGATGCTCGGTTGTCTCAAGATTTTTCCTTGCAATATCGTCTGAGTTTGGTCATCAAGATCTGGTAGCAACCTGCGCGGCATTACAGCATCTTGAGCAGGCACTTGCGTACACAGCCATGGAAGCAGCAAACGTGGGCTTAAGACATCTGAAGTGAAAGCAACGACTCTGAGCTCGTTTGGTTCAAGGGATTGGCGCCATGCACGGAACTTTCTTCACGTTTTGTGTGTTCGTTCGTTGTAGACGGAAAAATAAATTTTCCGTGTTTGCCTTCCTTTTTGCAAATAATGCTACCAAAGTTTCAGCTCCTACACAATCAACACACGCGCAATCATCAGTAGTACCAGTCACAAACACAGCTAATGCATTGCGGTTGTCTAAGCAGGCTGAAACAATGAGCAACAGTATATTCGGACCTGGAAATTTCTCACACTGGGGAGGTCACTTGAGCTCTCCTACATTGTTCATAACCTTTGCTGCCCCTGATTTAAGATCTCAGATGGAGTGGATCTTCAGCATTCTGGCCGAATGAAACCCTCCACATGCTCAAGCACGCCTCCGTCACACAAAAGCTTGCGTCGGTTCTGCAAGGTCGCTCCGTGGCCCGGCCCCGAACCTCAGACCATTCAGATGCCCGAACTCCTTTGAAGCTCCAAACATTCTGTGATCCTCCGCATAGACGCTTGCAGCTACGGCCCTACATAGCCGCAGGAGAGCACCGGCCGGGCCGGCGAGATAACTTTCTAAGACGTTTTCCTGCTGAAACATTAGCCTCCACTGGCCGCTCCACGAGGCGATCCCACAAGTGCTCACAGGCTGTCAGCATGACTTTCTTGCAAGTACCAATGTTGAGCTTCAGAGTGGCAAAATCAGCTGCACATCTACCGCTGTCCAAAGAGGCTACGGACAGGTGCGTTTAAAAAACGGTGCAGACAGCAAAACTGTGCTCTGAAACCGCACATTACCACTCATTACCACTGCGGTTTCAGAACCAAGCGATAATTAAAGAGCATGTCAGAATGCAAGAAGCCACCACAGTAAGCTAGACATAACAGCTGCTCCATTGCTGATGGTAATTTTAGACTAGCACGGAAGCACCGCAAATCAAGTGGACATAACAGCCCTAATCTCCCTACACATCCGAATGTAACTAGCTATGAACCTCGACCTTAGACTAACAAGATTTGATGGCGAATAGGAAGATTCTCGACAGAACAATCAGAGCACTGCAACCGCTGTTGTCAGAGTCCCTCAACTCGAACTGAAACCCGAAACCCTGAACATTCGCCGCCCGGCAACCAATGTGCCTACAACACCTCTTCTGCAAGAGCTAAGGACTTGAAGAAGCTGCAGGAGGCATGAGCCTACAGCATCTGCTAAACTGTGACCGGTCCGGAAACAAACAGACAACGACCCTCGCCCTGCTTCCGATCTTTGCTCCCATCCGCGCTTGCAAGTCTTTGACCCCATCATGGAAGGGGAAAGAAGCCTCTGGCGGCTTGTCGATGGATAAACCCCATCTTCGACAAATCCCTCGCGGCACGAAGAGGCATCTCCAGCCATGATGTTCCATGTGCTTCCTGCTCCTCGAAAAGGCCAGGGGGGAGGCAGGGTTCCCCTGGCCTAGACGCCCCTATTCGGGGTTGTCGCTGCCTGCGGCTCCCTCTGGCTTCGTCCCTTCCAAAGGTGTGGGACGCTTCCCATGCGAGTCGGTGCGGGCAGGTCCGTACATGGGGGGCATCTCCCGAGGGAAGTACTCATCATGCCCTCTGAAACTCACAATGAAGGGGTCCGGGGGAGGTCCTCCTTCCCGACCAGGGCAGCCTTCATCTTGGCCCGGGTGGCCTCGTTGAGCTCGTGGCCGGCCTCCGAGAGGACCGCCTCCAGGGCGCTGAAAGCGGTGCTGGTGGAGTCCGCCGTCATCTCTTTGAAAGCCTTGGCCGTCTCCTGGATCTCGACATCCTTGGCCTTGATGTCCTTGTCAACCTGGTCCACGTCCCCAATAAGCTTTTCCAGCTCCTGCTTGAGCTTGTCCGCTCGTGCCTGGAGCTTGGCCTTTTTCTCAACCAGATTCTTCATCTGGTTGGTGGCCTTCTTGAAGTCGCTGACACACCTTGTCAGCTTCTCCTGGGGCGTGGGTTCTGGCTGGTCGAGGTCCTCATCTGGCGGAGGGGGGATTCCCGCGGCCTCCAAAAGGGTCTGGACGTGGAGCCCTGCACCGGCGTAAACCACGGCCCTGGCAGCGTTGTACTCCTTTTCGGTCATCCTGCCCTTAAGGAGGGACTGAAGGTCCAGTCCCGGCGGGGGGGGCGGTGGCCCTTTCGGCCGAGGTGGGCTGTACCCGACCTCCTGGAAGGCTTTCTGTGCAGCCTCAGGGAGGTCTTTCCAAAGACCCGCGAGTACCGCGCCGACTTTGCCACCTGGGGGGTTCTTGGAACCCTTGCCTTCTCCTTTACCCTTGCCTTTGGTGCGACCGTCCTCCCAGACAGCTCGGGGGCTCTGGGATTGCTCGGCACGGGCCTCCTTGCTTGCTTGCTGCTTGTTCAGCTGCTTCTGCCAGTTTCTGCCGCAGTACGCACAGTGGGTATTTTCCCCCGACTCGACCTGGCGTTTCCAGGCCCAGTGGTACCCACAGGCGCACGGGATCCACTTGGGAGTGCGCGGCATGGCTGCAGCTGGTGTGGAAACCACTACCAGAAGTAATGGCTGCAGAAAGCAAGCAAGGAGTGGTGGCCACTTCCGAGCTCTAGAAGTGCACTCGGCAAGAGGAGGATCGACCTCACTCAGAAAGTGCAGTAAACAGCCTACCGGGCCGCCCACCAAACCCTTGCCTGCTGTCAGGCCTACGACCTTTACCAGGTTGGGTTTGGGGACTCTTCGAAGCCTCTAGACAAAGTGGGTCCCAAGGCTAAAAGGCCACGACGGCACTGCAACGTCTGAGCCGAAAACTTGAGCCAGGAGCATCTTTCTCACGCACGCTTCGCAGAAGCAGCCCGTAGGCTTGTCCGACATGCATTAATTAACTCCAAGTATTTTGGAGTCATCCGCATTTGCGGGCATCGCCAAAGTGGCGGCAGTGGCTACTCCTACCAAGAGCTGCAGGCTACCTGACCTACCTGAGCTACTGGCAGGAGTGGAAAACCACTTCCTGGGAGTGGAGAGCCACATCCCAGTGAAACAGGACGAAAGTCCTACAGGGAGGGAGCCTCACCCGAAAGGGAGGTGCACCTCACCCTGCAGAGCATCCTGTCTCTGCACAGGAGAGGGTCAGGCTAGGAGCCTGACCCTCTCCTGATGCCCGGGGGTCATGAAATGGGCTTGCATAGACCCTACAAGCGTAACAAAAAAGCCCATCCGGGCTGTTGACTGCTCGGTGGGGTCCATACGAGGGTGGTGCCACCACATCCTCTGCAAGAGCCGAATCCTCGGAAGGCTCTTGAGGGGGGGGGCACCCCGTCCCTCCTGTAGACCCCGCAGCCTCGCTAAGGGTTGGCCCACTGGCCTCGGGGACCTCCGGCTGCAGGGCCGAAGGCCCAGTAGCCATGAGGGTCCTTTCACCCTCGCGGAGTTGATCGCCCATGGGCAACCGAAGGTCCAGTATCGCCTCGTCGGGCCAGACCTGAGGCAGTCCAGGCCCCCCAGCTTGAGCCTGTTGCGACACAGGCTGAGCACCTCGGAGGCAAGAGCGGAGGGCTTCACTGCCAGGGCGATCCAACGCGCCTCCGGCGGTTGGCGACACTCTATGTCGAGGCGCATGAACTGTGTCGACGCCGGGGCGCTGCCTGGAACCTCTCCGTTCTACATTTCATCTAGCCGCAAAGTATACTCTCACAAATTTCTATAATTCATATATAAACATATTCACATCACGTGTATCACGTTGCAGTTCGATCCTCTCCTTTTTTTTTTTTTTTCACTTCGTGCAGCAGCATAATGTCAAATGCAGATGCAAGAATGTGTACGAACACCGGCTGCGGAAGTGTAAGAGTACCAAAAGCAAGGACCATAAAACAAGTATTGAGATAGCCAAAGATACCACAGGATGTACGCCGGAAGTCGTATGCATTCAATGTCCGCACTTCAATGTACAGACAATGTACAATGCACTGGTGTCTTGACTATGCACCGTAAGACATGCATAACGCAAGTGCCACACCACACAGGGCGGGCGGGCGGGGCCTTTCTTGACCCTTCTCTGCTCGAGCAGCTTTGCGGCTAGATGAGCAACAAGGATGAAACATCATGCGTTAGAATACAAATGTAAAACAGTTTTGAGCAAGCACAAAAAGCGTTCTACATTTCATCTAGCCGCAAAGTATACTCTCACAAATTTCTATAATTCATATATAAACATATTCACATCACGTGTATCACGTTGCAGTTCGATCCTCTCCTTTTTGGCGGTAAGACACTTCGTGCAGCAGCATAATGTCAAATGCAGATGCAAGAATGTGTACGAACACCAGGACTGTAAACTGCCACAAAGGAGAGGTCGGACTCGCAAGCGCTGCACTCCCACTACCGAAACGTGAGGCCGACAGAACCTGAGTGGGCATTCCGCCCAAAGAAACGTCACCGCATACGGTTGAAGAGAAAGCAAGGTATATGGGAAGCATAAAGTACTCAACTATCAGTGACGCACTGCGTATGCAAGCGGACCAAGTTGCCTGCCACTCATGCCTATCGCGTTCACTGATGCATGTTCTGCATCTCACAACACCGCCCTCAGGGGAACGCATGTGCTCACGGGGGAAGGCAAGCCGACCGCGCGCCGTGAGTGTCGAACCCCGACGATGGTGCACATCAACACCGGTGTTGCAGGAGCCCCAAGAGCCCACGGGGGAAGGCCAGGCCGACCGCGCACCGTGAGATGTTGAACCTGCCCGATGCCGAGTGCTCACACGCTGTGTGCATTGAAGGACGAGACAGGCGGCTGCCAAAGCAAGTTAGCATCTGGCGGGAAAATGCGAACATCTCGCTCGCCCTCCCACAAGACTGTGAGTGGGCAACGAACCCGGTGATCCAAGAGGAACCGGGAAGGAAGTTCCTGCAAGTCGCCTTTCCACCTGCTCAAGAAATCAGCTCTATCATTGTGACATCCCGCGATGTGTGTACAATCGAGAGAGATTCCAGACTGCCAACTCCGCGTAGCCAGTTTCTGAGCAAAGAAACACAGCGGTGTATGTACTGTGAAAAGCTTGTTCGTCAAGGACTCGGTCCCCGAATTATCCGACCAAGATGGGATGCATACCCGAAGTCGCCCAGTAGGAGTGATGGAAATGAAAGCGATCAAGAGAGCCAGTTGTGCCAGCGTCTCATACGCTGTAATGTCCAAATTAGCATCATCTTTCATGGGCAATCCCAGCGCACGGAAATCTTGGACCGTAAACCATTCGGAAAACCAAACAATGGGCTGATTCGGCAATTCAACCCATCCGCCAATCCCAATGTCGTTGCCCTTAGCACAAGCGTCAGCAGCTAAAGAATATTGAAGTCCAAAGGCGGCAAAGACAAGCAGCGGGGCATCTGAGGCCGCATGCAAAAGTGCACCCAGAACATGATGAACTGTCTGCTCACCGTGCTGATTCGACGCTTGCTAGATGATGCATCCGCCACACGAATCCAGACACGTTTGCCTGTGGCCCGCACCAAGCGCAAGTCTGCTTTGCACTTGATTTCCACATGTCGAGCACTCAACAACTTGCTGCCCGGGGGGATGGTCGACCCTGGTGGCGATTTGCGGAAATGCAAGTCATCCGTCAAGGTATCTGCTAGCTGTTGCCAGGCGCCTGCATGCAAAGAAAAATTTGTGCCCAAGGGACGAGACATGTCGTGGTACAAGCAGCACAGCCACGGTAGCAACTCTGGCGACATCTGTAATATCCAGTGAAGGAGACCGATGAGAGCCTGCAAATCCCGCTTGGTGCAAGGGTCGGACCGGAGCACTTGCATCAGGCTTTGCAAAAGTTTGGCCACCTTAGCATCAGGCAGACAAAACGTGCCTGCACGGAAATTAAGCTGCCACCCAATGTATTCCAGCTTGGGCCCCAACTGGAGCTTACGCCAACTGATCGGGTATCCAAATGATTGTGAGAATGCCACCATAAGGAGCGCGGAAAAGTCGATGGCGGAACTGTGCTGAAGGAGTAATGCGTCGTCCACGTACATAAGTAGGACGTGGCTGATGAAGATCATGCGATGGCCGGTGCGAACATAAAAGCCCGCTACGCGTTGCCACCACAACGCTGAAAAAGAACCTCCAAATGGTGCCACTTTATAAAAATAGTATTTCCCGTTCAAAGAAAAACCAAGCAATCCTTGTTCACTCGCCCGAATCCGAACGGTTTTGTGGGCTGCCTGTATGTCTAATGTGCATGCGGCTATACAGCCCGACACACCCCTCAGGGGATACACTGCCCGGATATCACCGAGACCGGGGAGAAGAAAGCGCTCAGGCAGGTGGCAGCTAGGGTTAACCCCACTAACCGATGGGTCGACAATTAAGCGAGGATCTCTAGAACCACTTTTCACTACATTTACTTTGCCTACAGCGACCCGGGGCCATTTGGCTTGGGCTTCTTCGAGAGAGTCGAAGACGTGCACGTAGCCCTTGTCCACCTCTTTTTGCACAAGTTCTGCCAGCAATTCTGGCTCCTCATTGGCCCCAGGCCAGTTGCCCGAACACACTTGCACATCAAAATCTTCTGGATCGAAATGCGCTGGGGTAGGCAAGAAACAGTTGCTCATAGAAATGTCACCATCAACACCCGTTGGCACCCCAGCCTGCAAGTCCTTCCAAAGCTCCACATCACGGTCGTCAAGAGCCTTGCTCAAAAGCTCAAGTGCCTGAAGACAGTAAGGCTGGTCGGGCGCGACCTCCCATGAAACTGAATCCGTGAAGCCCTGGGCTCTAAACCAATCTTCCCAAATCGATCGCAATGCAGGGAGCTCATGCTGCTGAATGAGAGGCTCTTGCGATGACTGACTGACATGTTTGCGAAGGCGATCAAAAAGTTTATGCTCTTTGAAAAACCCCCACATATCTTGACGCAACTGGCGGAAAGTATCCTTCGACCCCGCCGGAGGAGAAGTCCAGTCGGGCTGGCTGTAAATGCCGCCACCATCCTGCTGGCCAGTCGGGAAATCGTTCAAGGGGCGAATTGGCAATGCAGAAAGTGCCTGATCCAATGACGTGAAGTCAGTAGCATGTGAGTTCTCTGGGAACAACGGGCTAATGGCCTCCATGAATGCATTGCACAGCATGGGAGGGAACACCGCCGTATGCCGAGACACGAACTGGCCTGCGGCGTCACGTTTACCGTGAAACGCATCATGATGACCCGCAGCGTGCTGGCAAGTACTTTGCAATTGCTGTAAAGGTCGCCAACTTGTGGCGAAGGCCCAGTACTTTGCATAGCTCGAACCATAACTGCAGGCTGCAACCTGAATCACATCCGCCGCAATTTCCAGAAGGAAAGCCTGAGTCACGGGCTCAGCCCAAGCCATAGAGTTACGGGGTTGTTCTAAGCTTACGTGATTGCCACTCTGATATACAGCGTGCAAGAGCATGACTGCCCGAGATAACAGAAGGTGGCTGGATCGAACACGCTCCTGGGCTTCGTCATTGTTGGAGGGAAAGCCTGCCAAGCATTCCCATGATCGGCAGGGTGGCGGTCCGCCATCAAACCGCTTCACAATGCTGTATTCGCAGCAAGGAGGGGATGCGTTTGCAAACGCTACTGCACCTGAGTGGGAAAGCTTCAAGAGGCCATCGAAGATACGATCATCACGTAAGTCTGATGCCTTGTTATGTAGGATATCTATGGGAATACACGCCCAACCCCGACGTGCGGCCTCCTGACAGAGTGGTGCACCTGCACCGGCGAAAAGATCCAAGAAGAAAAGAGGGTGCCGCTGTGTGGCCACCACCGGTGGCAGGGCTGAGATTGGCTCATTGGACTGAACCGCGGATGCGGCAGCTGACTCCTGTGACTGCGATACACGAGGAAGTTGCTCCGGAGATACCTCCGGAAAACCAAGATTGGCTAATGTACCCGCTGGCACATGGGGCAACGTGTAGCAAGTGATGGACCATCTAGTACCCACAAATGGCATGGTTTCATGCCAGGCACACGCTGGAAAAGCAACGGGATTACGAAAAGTCTGAACTTCTTCGCCCTTCACCCAGTGCTGGCTGCCTGGTGGCTGGCGCCACAAAGTGCCTGTTGCTGATTCCAGCCACAAAACACCCCCCTGAAAGTCCCCAACGGAGACGTTCAAATTCATGGAGCCCTCACTGTTTGCTAAGTCCTGGTGAAGGCTAGCTACACGGTTGAGATTTATACAAATCGCATTCCAAAATTGATCCGGCCAAAGAACCTTAAACAAGGCATTCAAACGGCGAACTATGTTGGGCTTATCTTGGGTGATGGAAGTAAGGACAGTGGGTTCTGAGGGCCTAACCCCAAAATTCCAGTAACCGGTTTCATCATTGTCACGCGGTTGCAAGACAGCCCTTGCTGTATGGCACGGCGGCCAATCCACAGATTGCAAAATGCTCAAGATTGTGTCACATGCAGCTGAAACGGCCGACGACGGGTCTGCCACGGCGGCACATGTGGCATTCAACACAGGGCTCGGAGCATCCACTGCTGCGGGCCCCGGTGGGACTTCAGAAAACGTGGTCAGGGCACTGCCTGACGAAGCACAATGTGGAAAACCAGAGCAATCAAAATTGGACTCCTCAGCATCAGATTGTGGCTCAAAGCAAACAGTGTGGCCAGTGTGCATGGGTTCACATGCCTCAGCCGCATGTAAGACCGACATGTCTTCGTCCGCAAGAACAACGCCCGATTGGGGCGACACCAGGGGCTGAGACATGCACCCCGCCTGTCAGTGGGGCGTTTGCTTGTGCTCAGCCGGACTGTGATCCCCGAGACACATGCGATTGTTCGGCAAAATCACCCCACACACATGTTCAAACTTGCACTGCTCGCGAGTACACTTGCCCTGCTGAAACCCGGAACACAGAAGGCGTTTGTTCTTGCCTTGCATCCAAGAGGTACCCACTCGCAGGACATTGATCATCAAGGTATGACGCTGGGAACCTTTGCCATCCTTAGAACCGCCCTTATTGCCCTTATCCCCTTTGCCACCCTTGCCGAGGTTCCCCTGCTTGCCATCGCCTTTGATGCGATGCGGCGTCCACGGTTGCCATGGAATTTTTGGTGCGACGGCCCTCGGCATGAGCAGAACGTGAAGCTCGTTGCGAGCCACGACAACCTCGCGTATTGCCTGATCCATCGTCCAGTTCTCTTCATTGAACAAGACCGCGATCTGTTGCCAAAGCTGTTTCTCTGCGTTCTCGGCCTCCAATCTGTTTGGAACTCGCAACCCCCCATCCCGAGGCAAGTGATCGAAACACTTGACAAGAAATTTACGGTTCATCTCCCGCAGGGTGTAGAGATGGGCGCCGTCTGCTAGCGCAATCGCCACTGCCTGCAAATGAAGCAGTTCTGCCATAACACTCTTAGCCATGCCCTGTGTGGGCAACTCTCTGCTGGGTATCTCTTCCCACAACAGATTTTCAAGCCGTGGGGCCTTAAGGGAACGCTCAAGAGACTTAGAGTCATATTGTTCTTCTGACAACCGCAACTTCCACGGTATCCATCGCCAACGGCGATCCTGCAATTGCTGATGAACCAATGACAGAAGTCGTGGTGATGGCATTATCTCGGGGCTTAATGGTTCCGAAGGGTACTTCTCACTGAAAGCCTTTATCATTTGGCGGACTGCCTCGCCACTGAGACGCTTCGGGAATGCCTCAGACCATGAGGCCTGATCGGCAAGCGCACCTGTGCTCCCCACGGGGTTGGGCTTGGGAGGATCATGTTGCAAGGGTGCCCCCGACTTTTGGCATTTCCGCCACAAGAGGCGAATCCTGGCCTTTACCAACAGATCGGATGGCTGAGATGGGTACGTGAGGCCATCTAAGAATTCCTGAATTTCTGCATCAGAAAGAGACCCGAACTCATCAGGGGCAAACACAGCCACATCTTTCCAAAGAGACTCCGGGATGCCCGAGCCTTCCAATAAGGCCCGCATCGGGCTGGCCTGTTCAGCGGCTTCCTCTGAGAGATCCAAGAAGGGGTTGGGTTCTGATAGCGCCATGCTCCTTTCTAGATAGTGTATTTACCGAACGTGGAAGCTAAACGCAATGGAATCACAATCAATTCGGAAGCGCTCACACAAGTTACAGAAGAAACTTCGTGGTATGACTTGAAAAAGCACAACATGTCCTACCATGACCAGCTGAGCCAACAACCTCCCTGTTGATGTTCTTTGAACAACAGTCACTCGCAGCACAGTCACCTAACCTGAGACATCTAACGCATGAGACATGGCAGCACACACAGCGACTACCTTGAGCGATGACCGTGCATAGAGCGTTCTTTTGGCATGTCCGATAGCCCAGAGATCGAATCTTCGACAAAACTACCAGCTACAAGCGTTGCAACGCCTTATGAGCACGCAACCAAGGAGTTATACCGATTTGGCACACATGATCTGCGATGCGAGGCTGGTGTCCAGGACTTCAGTCCCCACCACTGGTGTCCAGGACTTCAGTCCCCACCAGAACAGCCACCCGAAACCCCAGCGCGGTGTCCAGGGCAATGCCCCCACCGGCTGTATGCCATATCCCAAGACGGGATAACAAACGGGCATGCCGCCCTGAAGGTGTCCAGGGCCCGAGCCCCCACCACTGATACCGTGCCGACTCTGGCAACCCACTTATCTCATAGCCAGTTGAAAAGAAGCCAAAAACCCCAGGGCAACACTGTGTGCACAACTGAAGCAGCTTATCAGCCGGCCGATGCGAAAATTTTATGGCAAGCTGGATGACGGCATAGCCTGGACCCGGGTGCGAAAGACATGGACAGTTGAAGACTCTTGCACAACGTGCCACAAGCTGGACGCACGAGACCTGCCTTGCAAGGAGTGCCATGGGATGAAGGCATGGCCACATGCATGACACCTGAACCGCTTACCAAGTAACCAAACTCCTCGGGAGCGCCCAAAGATTCTGCTGCTGATTCCGAATCTGAAGACACCAAAGCATGCTCGTTCAAGAATGCATTATCTTCCGCCTGCGAAGGCTGGACGTCGGCTGCGGCCTGCGGAAGCAGCGCCTGCTCGACCGCCACAGAAGGCACATGCGCTCCTGCTGCATTCTCCGGTACAGAAACATGCACTGGACCGAAAATGGGCGGAACCTCAAAAAAAGGCGGCACGGCTTCTAAGGTGCACAACGGTTGCTGAGGAATCGAATGAGCTGCCCCCCGCTTCTGCGGGGCAGGAGGCAGCCATCCGGCCCGTACTGCTGTGCAGACAACGGCCTGAGCTCTGAGCGCCCCCACGGTGTCTGATCTGCTATATAATGCAGCGCTGTCGAGGCGATGATGCCCCGCTGAGAGTCTATCCTCCTTCCCCACTGCCCGAAGGTGCATAAGATACAGCAAAGCCGACTTCAAGGAGTGCAAAGTGAAGACTGACTCCGCCCCAGTGGCGCAAGCACCGGATGCCACGCACCAAGATCGCAGCACTCGCAGCGACTGTGCGTAGGATAAGGGCGCAAAATCACCTGTCGCCTCGTCGAAACGAAACCAGACACAGTCAGGATCAATGCTGTCGCCATGCATATCGCGCAGTCGATGCCAGACCTCACCAAGCGCAACTAGCCAAGCTGAAACCCAAGTGAACTCCAAAATATCCGCAGTACCATGGAAACCCATAACCCCCGCTGCCAGCGGCATGCCCCTGCGCGTGGTTTTGGTCTTGAAGGCCTCTGCCCTAATGCAATCGGAACACACTTCGAAGGATGACCACCGAATGCGCTGGGAATCCGACCACCTCAAAGAGGCGTGTGCACACAAGAGCAAAGCCCCCGCGTGACACCTGTCCTGTAAAGACATCTGAGCCTCCAAGAGCATCACCTCACAATATGACATCAATCTGATCGGAACCGGATATGATTCTCTATGTGGTTGAACTCGAGGGGCCAGCAACATGGCCACGAGCCCATTGTAGAGATCAGGAAGGGGCAAATTGAGCATCCGACGGAACCATCGAAGGGCTTTGATGGTGTTGACGGGCTGAAAGTCGGCTGCCGAGTGCCCCCGGTGGGTCGCCCAAAGCATATCAACCAATTGCGCCTGATTAAGCTGATCAATTGCTGGCAAATCAAGCTCAAACCCTGCTCTAAAAACCGCTAAGACTGCCGTCATGTACCGCAAGAGTGTGGAAGGCGCCAAAGTGTTGAAGAACTTTTCAGTAAGCAAAAGCTCATTCGTGGAGCTCGACATCTGAAGGAGCACATCAGAGTGATCCAAGAGAATCGGCTTGAGTTCCAACCATAAAGCCTGAGCCAACTGAAGCTTCTTGGCATCATGCTGCACTGCAAACTCCACAGTCCCACTGCCCTTAGTAGGCCTAAAATTCGGCCCCGCATGAAAACTGCCACTGCTCATTGCCTCACGTCCTGCTGGGATCTCAAGAAAAGAGCGCTGCTGAGGCGGGCGAAGGGCACGCTTGCATGTCGGCCTGACAAATGCACTAGCCTGAGGTTGGGGATCTGCTGCAACCGAGCGCTCGTGATGGAACAAGGACCTGGATGCCGGTGATGCATGCATCGCGGGACGGGGAGCAGGACTAAACCCAAGACCTTCCGAACTAACATGGTGCAGCATTGTCGGCCGCATACACGGTCGAAGGGATGCAAGACTAGTAGGACGTACACCCTGGGCCGGCACAGGAATCTTTGTGCGCTTCAAGGGTTGCATGAGTACGGGACGGGGTGCAGGCTTATCCGAAACCCATAAACCCTTACTTGAGAAAATGCGCTCTGGTGCCATTACTTCATCAGACAAGACCCACTCGAAGGAATCCAAATCAAATGAAGACACACTTGGTGCCACAGCCGGCACGAGGGCAGCCTGATCGCCTGCATTGGAATCTACCACGGAAACAGCCTCAACAGCAGAAGCATCACGCTTGAGAAGACGAGCAGCACGCCGGGCCCAAGGCGTGGTAGCCGTAGCACTGTCCTGTGTTTCAGGAACAAACGGCAATGGAGCCGCCACCTGTGAAGTATCATCTGGCACCGCAAGAACATTTGCAGCTGGAGCTGCATGTTGCCTAGCCTGCAACGCCTTTTCAAGCAAAACAAGTGCCATGAATCACAAGTTGTCTCGAAGCTGGCTAAAGATCGAACGCAGATGTTGTATGAACTGCTCCAACCAACTGAGGCGTCTGTCTGAAACCTCGCGCGAGGACTCAAGTGACTGGATCCTTTCCTCAAGATATGCTTGCGTATCGGTTAAGATCTGATTCTGCTCTCGCAAATAATTCAACTGAATCTGCAAGTCAAACACGTGGCGAGAGATCTCTGATACTGTGCTAACCGACGAACTCGGAGGATCACTGGCCGGGCTTGCTGCACCGGACGAGGGCTCCGCCATGCGAGACCCCCCTTTGAGGATACCAGCTCGCTACTTAAGCAAGTTCAATGGAAAGTGAATGTAGATACAATGTCTGACATAAAATGACCAAGACTCATGAGTCGTCGACAAACCAAGAAGCACACAGACATGCATGATGCCTTTCTTGACCCTTCTCTGCTCGAGCAGCTTTGCGGCTAGATGAGCAACAAGGATGAAACATCATGCGTTAGAATACAAATGTAAAACAGTTTTGAGCAAGCACAAAAAGCCCTGTTCCTCTTTCGAGGGGCAGCACCGCCCTCGGGAGGGAGGGGAGGAGGCTCCTCAACCCTCGGTGCACTGGCAGGTGCAGGGTTGCTAGGAGGAGCCCTGGGAAAAGCGAGATCTCCATGCTCCCTCTGGGTAACCTCCCCTGGGCCGTAGGAGATCGGAGGGCCCGCGGGCGGAGTCTCACGACCAGGGGAGTGAGGTGGCGCCTCCTGAGGCGCAGGCTCCCGCACATTGGCAGTGGTGGCGGGTCCCGCGGAGGACGTGTCGCGGCTGGAAGCCGGACCACCTTTTCCTTCCTCGACCCTGGAAGGGGAGGTTGAGCCCGGTGAAACCGGTGCCCCGGATTGGGGGACGGCCTTGTTGGTGGCCTCGTCTTTGGCGGGCACCTCCTCCATGGGTGCGGCTGCAGGCGCCAAGGTGGCATCCTGGCCGGAGGGTGCCTCCTCTAAGCCGGGACCCGGCGCAGCAGAGGGTGGGTCAGGCTCCATCTCCTCTCCAGAGCTGCTGGGTGGGTCGTTGGCCGACCTGGCCCTTGCCGACGACTTGACCGCGGTCGTTTTCTGAACGATGCGGCCCAGGGCAACATCTCATCCTGGTCTCCTGGCACCGGAGGCTCCACCGGAGGGCTACTCTCGGATCTTTCCGAAGAGCTTTCTGAGGCTTTCTCAGCCTTCGGCGCCCCTTTGCTATTGCCGCCAGTCCGCCTAGAGGGCGGAGGGGTGCGGACTCTAGGCGGCTTGCCGTCCGGCTGGGCCTTGGGAGGGTTGGACCCATCCCTTTCGGCCTTTAAGGCCTCCCTCTGGCTGCGAGGGGGACGCTTGCGGTTCCGCACAAAGCTGGAAACCGAAACCCGCCTCGCATCGGGGTTTTTCTTGGCACGTTCGTCCACGTGCTTCCTGTAGGCCTGGACGAGGGCCTTGTCCTCCCGGTGGACGGAGGGCTGCTTGCCTCGCCCTTTTTGAAGGGGTGGAACGACCACACCCTTCAGAGGAGGCTGGTGGGGTATCCCTGGACCCGCTAACACCAGTGTCGCCAGCCTGGTCGGTCCAGTCCCAGCCGTCCAGTCCTGCCAACTGGCGGTGGGACCATCAGATCCGCCGGTATCACCACATGCTCCCGAGGTGGAGCTGTGACCGGCGGTCTGATCTGCAGGGGCCTCCCAGAAATCAGCCCCGAACGGTTCAGGGCCGTTCCAAACCATTCGCCATACCCATCTCCAGGAGTGGTAGCACCACCTCCTTTCCCATTCCCAGCCCATCTCGCAAAACTTGAGAGGGCTAAGGCCGAGAAAGCGAGAGGTGCTAGTGAGCCATGGCTACAGCTACTGGCGCTTCAGAGGCTTGGGGAAAACTGAGTCTGAGGAAGGTGTAACAGTCCCAGGAGATTAGGGGGAAAGGGCCC